GGTGGTGGTGGGGATTGGGAGGTTATGGAGGAAGGCCACGGATCAGTGGCAGCCAGTAGGACTCCAGTGAGGGTCTGTGGCAGCCATGCCCTTCCCTGGTGCCGGGCGGAGCCTCCCAGAGCCTGCACCTGGCTCCCTGGCCTGAGCCGCAGACCTGGGKGTCTGGCACCATGGTGGCCCAGGCTGCTGGGGTGGGTGGAGACTTACAGGAAGAGGTTCTCCATGATGTAGTGGTAGTCAGGGGAGCTGCTGTCCGGGAGGAAGCAGGCCGCAAAGACGATGATGGCGTTGAGACCTTCGCCATAGTACCCTGGGGAGAGGCGGTCCGAGTGGCTGAACAGGCCCCCGCACACCTGGCCAGTGCTGTCCAAGCTCTGAGCCGTCCCAGGCCACTGTGTCATCAGTCCCTTCCCCCACCCACATGCTCGGGAAGACACTGCCCTGAGACACAGCAACCTGGCAGGGAGCTGAACCCCCCAAGCAGTCTCTGCCTTGGGTGGAGAACCGCAGCCATTGTCCTGGTCACCACGTGTCTATCTGCCACACCCACCCTGTCCTAGCCAGCCCACCCTCCTCCAGCGAGATGAAGGCTTAGAATTCCCAGAGAGCAGAAGAAGAACCAGGGTCCAGAGGGGACCCCTGATGGGCCCCCAGCTGCCCAGCATTCCTGGACAACAGGGGGGCAGGGGTCCCAGGGCGCCAGGCTCACCTCCATGGGTGACCACCTTCATGTATGGCCGGATCATGTGCAGGTCAATGCGGTGCTCTTGTTCCCCAATGATCACCGTCCGCCACAGGCGCCCGTTGGCGGCACTGCCATCCTCTGCTGCGCCGTCCCCAAAMAGGTCTGCACTGTCACCGGGCATGTTCTTGGCAGTGGCCACAGGGGTATCATCTGGAAGCACGCCGGGGTGAGCAGAAGGGCTGCTGGAGTCCAGACATCTCGCCACCCTCCCTCCGGCCTCCCTCTCATGGTTCCCACTGCTGCCGGGGGGCCATGTGGCTTCTCCCACCTGGCTGCTGTGTCCCCATCTTCCTCCCCTCCCCCAAGGCCTGGCTCAAAACCACCTCCTCCAGGAAGCCTCCCACGATTGCACCCCAGTCTGCAGGCCGCTCTGGGCCTCCTGCACCTCTGCCCCCCCGACCCTGTCCATTTCCCTCTTCTGAAAAAATCTTGTTTTTAATGACTTTATTTAATTTATTTATTTTGGATGCGTGCTGAGCCTGAACCCAGTGCCTCCCCCGTGCTGAGCCCCAGCCCAGCCCCATTTTGCTCTTAAAACAGTCACTTTCTGCACACATTTTCCAACAGATGTCAGCAACTGGGAACAAAGGCCACAGGCGAGGGCCTGTGTCCCCTGGTGCCAGCACCCAGCTGTCCTCTGTCCTCTGGGCACCTCACTCCCACAGGTAGGCCACGTTTGGCTGACTGATCCTGTTAGGGTGGGGCTGGGGAGAAACGGGGGAACTGGGAGTCAGAAGTCACAGCCAAGTGCTAATCGACACTAGTGTCACCTTTACCCTGAGGAGCGGAGAGTGGCCAGCAGAGTGGAAAGGGGAGCTGGGTGGAGCCCGCTTCTACAGGACACAGGACTYGCTGTGTGACCTTGCACACAGGACCTCCCTCTCTGGGCTCCCAAACTGCCCTGAAAATGGCCACCTCTCTAGGCTGGGCTCAGCGGCAGAGCGCTCGCCTGGCACGTGCGAGGCCCTGGGTGTGATCCTCGGCACCACACGAAAACCAGCAAAATAAAGGTCCATCGACAACTTAGAAAGGCCACCGCTGTGACACGTGTTCTTCTGGTCACAGCGTGACCGTGGGCCCCACGCTCAGGCCACAGACGTGCTGTCACCTTGGCCCCTCTGCACTTTGTGCCCCTCACCCACCCAGCAACCACTGTGGGCCCCACTTCCAAGGGGACCCCCCTGCCACTTCTCCGCACCAGCAGGCCACCAGCAGGCCACACACCCCCAGGCTAAGGTCCCCCCTTCCTCTGACCCCAGCTGCCCCTCTGGTGGCTCCCGGAAGCCCTTGTACACACAGCTCTCAGTGGCTCTGGGCTCCTCTGTCCTGCACCCCACGGGGTCAAAGCCAAGCCCCTGGCCGAGGCCACCTCAAGCCACACCCTCGGCCGCTGCTGCCCCTGTCCCCTGGGCCTCGYTCGGCCCCGCCCCACGCCAGTGGCACTGCTCCCGCTGGAGAGTCTCCTCTCCAACGTCCACCCTGTGCTGACCCCCGTGGAAGGGACCCCACCTGTGGTCCTGGCCCAGGTCTCCCAGGGGCACCGTGGACACGGCGGGGTCCTTCTCTGGGTGGTGTCCTGGGCACTGGCAGCGAGGGGCACTGCAGGCTGCCGGGCTACAGGCCGGGAGCTGCCCCCCTCCAGCAGTGACAACTAAGTGTCCCCAGACAAGGCCCSGTGTCCCACGGTGGGGCGGATGCGGTGGTGAGAGGCCCCTGCCCAGCTTGGCTTCCTGAGCTCCCCGTGCGTGTGGCTGGTGCCCGGGGCACCCTGATCTCCTCTGCTTCCTGCCCGTCAGTGTCCACGGCCCTCCCTGGACCTCCAGCGCCTGGGTCAGGATGGCAGGCTGGGAGTCCGTGTCAGGGGCAGGCTGGGAGCGCGTCGCCCCGGCCGCTGCTGAAAGCCACRTGCCCCAGGAAAGTCCACGAGCCTGCGGGAGCCCCTGCCCAAGGGTGGCCCCCGGTCAGTCCCTGTGCAGTTTGCGGCTCCCGGAGCTGCCCGCGAGCTGGCGAGCCCGACTGGGGACAGGGTGGGGCACTGGGCGGCCGTGGTGGCCCCGGAGGCCCTCGGCCCTCACCTTCCCACTCAAGTTCATTCCCGTTCCCCAGAAACTCCAGCGAGTCCGTCTCGTCGGGGGTCTCGATGTCGTCCACGTTGATGTCCAGGTCATCGGGCGTGTCCAGGAAGTCATCGGACAGCAGGGAGCCCTCGCTCTGGTCCAGGGAGATGTTGATCTCCGGGGCCACCAGGGTCTTCCTCTTGCGGTGAGCTCCCCCGAAGTTCAGGGCGGTGGGCGGGGCTGCGGGAGAGACAGACCAGCCGCCCCGTCCTTCGTCCTTCGTCCTTCTCCTGTCCCTCCTCCAGATCCCACCGCTCCCCACCTGCCCAGGGGAGCGCTCAGCAGGGAGGCCCTGTTCCTACGGCCACCTGCAAGACAGGCCTGGCGGGGCGCGGCCATCAGGGTCTCTGGATGATGGGGTCCGGACCCCAGCAGCCCACCCAGCGCCCACGTGCTCTTGCCCGCCCTGTCCAAGCAGGGGAGCTGAGCGGCTTTCCCCTGGCCTCCCGCTCCCTGGACGGCACTCCCTGCAGATGGAGCGTCCTCTCCGCGCCTGCGGCTCCTCCAGATCCCTCTGTGACATCCCGTGGCAGCAAGTGCTGCCTATCTCCCGGACAGGAGCGCCAAGTGCTGTCCAGCCTAGGGTCACCTGCCACCGGGGGCAGTGAGGGGCAGACCCCAGCCCCTTGGCTCACCCTCCCCTCCCCCCAGGAGTGGGTCCAGGGCACAGATTGCTTTCCCTGGCTGACCGGGCATGGTGACAGCAAGACTCAGGTCACCCCGTGACACTGGTCACCGGCAGGGAGGCAGGAGCCCACCACGTGGGCCCAGAGGGCAGGGATTTGAGCCAAAGAGGATTATTTCCAAGCTTTAAAATCAAATGGAATTCGCTCTAAAAAATGGACTTTGGGAATCTGCCCAGTCTCCGGCCTCAGGCTGGCTTGGGACCCCGAATGGTGGCCTTCCTGCGGCCCCAGCTTCCGGGAGGTGACCCCAGTTTCCAGGTTCCCGGCTGAGAGAATCCGTCCCGGGTCCGGGGACACCTGAGACTCAGCCAGGTCTGAGACGCCTGGAGACTTTGTCGGGGCTGGGGGCTGGCTAGCCGGTGGAGCCCTGTCCCCCTGGGCACCGGGCCCAAGGTGGACCCCAGCCACCTGGGCCTGGGACTTGCAGCCTCCAGAATGGAGAGCGAAGGAACCCACAGCTTTAGCTGCCTGGTCCCTGGGACCTCACAGCGGTCCCCGGAGAGCCACACACTTGGTGGCAGGAGGGTGGCTCCTGGGATCCTGGTCTGAGGCTGGACGGGGCCTGTTACTGCAGGAAGCCCAAAGGCCAGGCCGCCCAGAGCCTGGGAGGCCCGGTCCCCAGGAGTGGACGCCTGTGCCTCTTTCCTTCCTCCACCTTCTCTCTCCCTCCCTCCCTCTCCCTCTCCCCTTCTCTCTCCCTCTCCCTCTCTCTCCCCCTCTCTCCTCTCTCTCCCTGTCTCTCCCCCCTCTCCCTCTCTCTCTCCCTCCCCCTCCCCCTCTCTCTCCCTCTCCCCCGCCCCCTCTCCCTCTCTGTCTGCTGACCTGGAGCCCAGGGCTTCCCACACTCTGCCCAGGACTCCCCCACGGAGAGACTGGGCCTCGATACACTGCTCAGGCTGAACTTGCCATCCTCCTGCCTCAGCCTCCGAGTCCCTGGGACGGAGGTGGGATCAGGTCGGGGGTCCCATGGGTGGAATTAGGGTTCTCCTGAGGACAGCGTCAGGGCATGTGTGTGCGTGGGGGGGCACGTTTCAGGCGTGAGTGGTGGCCGTGGTGCCAGGTGGCCTGGCAGAAAGGCCCGGGACGGCCTGGCGGGCGCCCCCCAGCTCTCCCGGCAGCTCCCTTCCTGGGAATTCCCGCCTTTTTCCTAGAAACCCTGGTCCCTGCTGGGGGCCTAGCGCAGAGGCCCCTGCTGCCTGCTCAGCCCCGGGGACAGGCCTCCCKGAACGTGCCCTGGACACTGAGCTGGGTGCAGTGCTGCAGGGCAGGGGAGGACTGGGCAGATTGGCTCTCACTGCTGTGTGGCCCCGGGGGCCTGCCCGGCCCCTGATTCGGTAGGGTGGGCACCGTGACGGGACACGTGGCAAGATGCAGGCGGAGCTGGGTCCACACAGAGCTCAGCCCAGAGACGCCAGGGAGGAGAACGCAGGGCTCGGGCAGCTCGCCAGCCTCCCGGGCGGCCTGGGCCCAGTCTGGGGCTTTGGGTCCTCGGAGCAGTCTGGGTGGCACGGCCTCCCAGGGCTGCCCAGGGCTCCTCTGACTCYGATCCTGGCCTCCCCTGGGTACCTCGCGTCTGTCACCTCATTTCACCCCTATATACTCCCTCTGCAAGAAGCCCTCTACCTGTATTTAGTAGAGGGGGAAYGGGAGGCACAGAGAGGCTGAGTGAGCAGTTCCAGGACGCACAGCAAGACATTGTGCTCTCTTTGTGACAGGGCTCCCACCGACACGGCCACCTGCCCTGCAGGCCTGGCCACCCTTCCCTGACTGCCCTCTCAGGGTATGTGGCCTTTGATGTTCTTACAGTGACAGCCCAAGGCAGGGCCGAAGCAGACACCAGGTTCCCACTTCCCCCCGTGGGCAGACTTACAGGATGCGTCTTCCCCGGGGCTACCAAGCAACTCCATGCCTGTCTCTTCTGGGAGCGGCCTGAGGACCAGCCAGGAAGGAGCATGGAAATCCACCAGAGGCGCAGGGCGACCCGGGCATCCGGCCAGGCGCGTGCAGACAAAACAGGGTGGACAAGGCACCGTGAGAGCTGGGAAGCCTCTGTGCGGGCTCCTCCCAAACCCCGCCAATGTGGCGCCCGCCTGGGCCAGGGCCGGGCGAGCCGAGCCCCGAGGGAAGGATCCCGACTCTACTGCAGGGTAGAGGGCTCTCCGGTGTGGCAAGCAGGACCCCAGAGGGGCGAGGGACTCGCGAGTCAGCTTGAAGGACGCCCCGGCCAACRCTGGGCCGCTGACAGCCAATAGCAGGATATTCCTGGATTCCACTCCAGGTGGGAGGTGAATGTCCCCGAGTCTACGCTGATGGCCACCGTGGACGGGGACAAGGGATGGATCCCGGTGCAGGGGAGCTGCGGGTGGGGTCTGCAGACCTGGCCTCCAGGAGACGCGTGACCCTCCCACAGGCCACAGCGTCCAGGGGAGGGGGCCACCAGGTGGCCAAGCCCGCAGCAGCCCGCAGGGCCCTCTGCACCTCCTGCCCTGAACCCAGGGATCCCTGAGAAGGTCAGCCCATCTTGGTGGACGGCAGCCCATCTTGGTGGACGGCAGCCCCGTGGGCACCAAGGAGCCCCAAGACACCGTCACTGCTCCGAGGAGCCTGAGAAGATTTGCTGACCTGCGGCCAGGTAGCATGGAAATGGGGTCCCACCACTGGAAAGGGACATTAGGGGCAAAACCGAGAAAATCTGAATCCAGTGTGGCCTTCAGCAGCTGATAAGACGTGGACTTGGCCAGCGCCCCTGCTGCAGCAGGAGGCAGACCAGGAGAAACCAGGGCGGGCTCTGGGGCTCTTGGCACCCTCTTGGCAACATTTTTGCAAACCCGACTGTTGTAGACCAGGAAGACGATTTAAGAAGCGCAGCCAGGCSTGCAGGTCCCTCTGGGCAGCCCTGGCCTCCTCCAGGGCCAGGGAGCTGAGCTCGGGTTTGCAAGCTGCGACCTCGTTCTGCACCCCTCCCGCCCTCCTTGGAGCCACCCAGGGCCCAGGCTCCTTCCTTTCAGTCCAGGTGGGGCGGCCAGAGTCCTCCCTGCAGGGCACTGGCTCCCTGGAGCCGCAGCGGGAGACTCACATCTGGTCAGAGCGGCTGGGGTTGGGGGGGAGCTTCAGCCTGCGCCTCTTCCAGTCTGTCAGGGTGCAGCAGGTCTCTGCTCCCCTGCCCTCTGGTGTCCTTGGAGTAATTGCTGTGTCCCAGGGTGATCTGGGGCCTGAGGCCCCAAGTGAATCAGAGGGGGCCTGATCTTGCGGGTGGAGGCCCAGAGCAGAGTGGACGCCGGGGAAAGAAAACCTGCGTCCACAGCCGCACACCTCAGAGTCGGGCAGAGGGGACCACCCGGGTGTCCACTAGGAGTGTCCCTCGACCACCCACAGGAGCGAGGTGGCAGCCGCACTGGACGGACCTGAAGRCCTGGTGCTCAGTCAGAGCCACAGACACAGGCCACCGGCTGTGACCCAGTGACAGGAGGGTCAAGGACAGGAGTCCAGAGACGGGATGTGGGCCATGGGGAGGGACGGGGGCTGCTCCTGGACTTCCTTCGGGGATGGAATGTTCTGGAACCAGACAGAGGTGCCGCTGCCGCTGGACTGTGTACTCTAAAATGGCCCATCTGCGTGAYGTGACTCTCACTCAGAAGCAGCATTGGGCAGAGTCTCGAGGCTTCAGAGAGGCTGACCGGGCTGAAGAGTGCCCAGGGCCAGAGCGCAGAGACACAGGGTGCCTGGAGGCCCCCAGGCCCAGGGACTGGCCGCGATGGTGGACGCTCGGCCCTGCTCGGTGGCTGTGGGTTTCGCTGTCAGATCAGAGCTGCGGCCCAGAACTCTGGGTTCCCCTTTCGTCTGGAATCCGGGGACCTTCTTTCCAGCTGGCCGCGGCCACCAGGAGGAACTGGGTCCCCAGGCTGGGTGAGGAGTTGCCTTCGGGCTCCTTCCCCGTCCACAGCCCACCGGGCACCACGCTGGGCTGTGGGCAGCGGCCCCTGGAGAGAGGTAGAACCCGCTTCCCGGGGGGGAGACTGAGGAAGGGAGAGGGATCAGGCTGAGGGGCCCAGGGCCTGGGTGCCGCTCTGTCCCCCGCCACAGCAGGAGGCCAGTGTTGTCTGGGTTCTCATGAGAGGGACGCGGTTCCCAGCCCTGGCGGTGCACAGGGGTCCTACGATGGCCAAAGGCGCCCCCTGCAGGTCACCGTCGGAAGCTCTCCAGGCAAGAGCTTGCGGGTGCCCCTCTCCTGGGCCGTCCCCTGCAGTGAGGTGGCCTGCTCTTCACTCCTTGAGCAGAGGCATGTTGGGGTCTGGCACACAGAGCAGGTAGGTCCCTGCTGGGTGGTTCCATTTGGAGGACGTGGTGCGTGGTCAGCTGGACGTTCGGCCCAGGCTGCCCGGGTGCTGCCCTGGGGGTCTCTGGATGCCCCCAGAGTCTGGAATCCGTGGTGTTAAGTGAAGGAGGGGTTCGGGGACACAGCAGGGCCCCAGCCTCGTGCACCCTCCACCAGGAGGCCTTCAGGGCAAGAGCAGGGCTTTCTGGGGTCGGCACAGGCGGGCTGCCCGCAGGCCCAGCGGTTGGCAGAGGTGCCGCGCACCCTGTGGGTTCTTTGGTAGAGGTCCTGTGGGTCAGGAAGTCTGCATCCGAGGAGCAGGTGCATCAACAGGGCAGAGGCCACCCTTGCCACACACAGCACAAGCCCCGGCAGCGGGGGCAGGCCTGGGCAGCCGGCAGAGGCCCTCGGGGGTGGATGCCAGGCTTCCCCTGCCAGGTGCTCATCACTGAGCTGCTCCCTGGGCCCAGGAGGAGGCGACCTACGAGCCATAGGTTGGCACCTGCAGGGACGGAGAGCCTTCCAGGCAAAACACAGGAGGGGCAGAGCCCGGGCAGCAGTCAGCCCAGTGAGCTCAGGAACAGACCAGAAAGTAGAGCAGCCCGGTGCAGGGGGGGTGCAGAGGGGGCCGCGGGGGGAGCAGGAGCCCCRGGCAGAGGGGGCTGCGGGGGGAGCAGCAGGGGGGCCACGGGGGGAGCAGCAGCCCCAGGCAGGGCACCACGGGGCAGGTGGATGGAGGGGAAGGAACGGGTCAGGGCGAGCACTACTGGTGCGGGATGAGATCAGGAGCCCATGTCCCCCAGAGCAGCCCCCAGAGGCAGAGGACATCCCACAAGATGAGGGATCATGCCAAACTGGACGGTGTGAGGGTCCTGTGCAGGGCCCCAGGCTCCAGGAAGGGGGTCCAAGTGCAGCAGATGCCCACCCTGCCCGCCCGCAGAGCTGGGATTTCCAAGGCAGGTGAGACCTTGCCCCTCCCCAAGCCCTGGGACAGCCTCAAGCTCTCCAGACCTGAAAACCCTGCCCACCGCCCAGGGACATCCTGATGTCTCCTGGAGAATTTGCTTTCGGAGTCCCTGAGAGGGAGCCTCTGTTAAAGGGGGGAGTCTGCCGGGGCGGTGACAAATGGCAGCCATCACAGCTACTCTACTCGGGAGGCTGAGGCAGGAGGAGCACAGGTTTGAGGTCAGTCTCAGCAACTCAGGAAGACCCTGTCTCAAAATAAACAGCACCGCGGCTGGACCTGGGCGGACGTGCAGGTGCTCGCCTCGCATGCGTGAGGCTCTGGGATCCATCCCGGTAATGACCACAAAGAGAGAGCCGTCCCCTCTGTACGCAAGCTGGACAGCATGGCTGCATCCCTCTGTCCTGGATAGAGCTGGGTCCCTGAGGTATCCGCTCAAGCCCCGATGCCTGGTGCCGGGCTGTGGCCTCATTGGGACATAGTCACCCTCCCTTATCAGTGGTTTTGCTTTCTGCCTTTTCAGTTACTTGCCATCCACTCTGGTCTGAAAATACTAAATAGAAAATTCCAGAAACAAATATGACCACAGATAGAATAAGATCCGTAAGTTTTAAGTCGCCCTTTTCCCGAGGAGCGTGTGGAGTCGTGCACTCTGTGGCTCCAGCACCTGGGTCTTCCTTTCGTTCAACGTATCCACACGGTGGATGCTACTCTCCTGTTCGTGACTCAGTCGCTGTCTCCGTTATCAGACTGCCTGCTGTGGTGTCACGGTGCTCGTTTGCCAGGAACCCTTGTTCTTCTTCATTGTGACCCCGGAATGTCATTATCTGGCCACTCAGATATGCCAAAGAGAAGCAGSGGAGACGGACCCACGTGGCGCGAGGAGGTGAATTCCTCACGGGTGTGCGGGTCGGGGCAACGTGGTTCTGTGTGCCCAGGGCCGGGTGACATCCCCATGGGCATCCATCGAGGGTCTTCCCACAGCCAGCGAGGAGCTTCGGCAGGGTCCCCGACGTGACGGAGTTAAGATGAGGTCGGGCAGTGCCGGGTCACAGGGAGCCCCCACCTAACAGCTTGTCTTTCTAAGAGGAGCAAACCGGGGATTTGTGCAGGTAGCTGGGTGATTCCAGGCTGCGGGAGGCTCTGGCTCCACAGGGGCTGGCAGAGGGCAGTGGGCAGAGAGACCAGGACGAGCAGTGGGCACCGGTGATGTTCCCTGGARAGGGGTGGCCAGGCTGGGAGGAGGGTGAGCCCCGGGGCGGGGGACACACAGGCGGCTCTGTGGGCCGCGGCTGAACCCTATCCGAGACAGAGCCTGTGGTGAGCTGTCCAGTTGGCTACCCGCCTCGGCTCCTCCAGGGCTGGGCGCACAGCAAGACCACTGTCCTGCAGCCGCTGGGCCGCTGCCCTGGAGGAGCCCCGGCAGCTGGAGAATTCTTTGGAAAGACACCCGCCTCTTGCCCGGTGCCCACCCGCTACAGAGCGGGGCCTGTTCTGTTTGCAGCTGCGTCTGGATGGTGCTTCCCGGGGCCTGGGAGGGGGTCGCTTCCACAGGGAGGAGCGGCCTCGCGGGTGTGTGTGTGCGTGTGTGTGTGAGAGTGTGAGAGTGTGTGAGTGTGTGTGTGTGAGAGTGTGAGAGTGTGCGTGTGTGAGTGAGTGAGTGGGTGTGTGCGTGTGTGTGCGTGTGTGTGCATGTGTGTGAGTGGGTGTGTGCGTTTGTGTGAGTGCGTGCGTGTGTGTGTGCGTGTGCGTGTGTGTGCATGTGTGTGAGTGGGTGTGTGCGTTTGTGTGAGTGTGTGCGAGTGAGTGGGTGTGTGCGTGAGTGTGTGTGTGCGCGTTTGTGTGTGTGTGTGTGTGTGTGTGCGTGTGGTGCTGAGTGGCCTCGTGCATGCGGGGCAGGCGTTCTACGCCGAGCCATACCCCTGGCCTGAGATTTTGAATGTTTTACCCCAAAGAATCAAGGAATGTTTGGCAAGAAAGACGCCGCCCTCCGTGCACCGCGCACTGCGTCCGCGAGTTGAACCGTCACCAGCTGCCCCAGAAACACGCCCAACTTTTGTTTTTATGTGATACTTTGAATTTTTTTTAATTGAAAATTCTTGCCATGTTTTAAAATTCTTTTTTTCCCGGACAGTTCCAGAACTTGAGCTGCTGGCTGGGAGCCCTGGAGGACGAAGTCACAGACGGCCTTGCCCCTGGCGGTAAGTGTCCCCCAGCGAGGACGTCCTCCACCGAGGGCTGCAGAGTGGGCTGGGCAGGCCCCGCAGGCAGTGGCCAGGCTCCCGTGGACAGGACCCCAGGACAAGAGCTTGTCCGTGGCTTGGAGCGGGGCGCCTCTTGCTACGCCACGTGGGTGCATGGAACTTGGGGTCTCCACACGAGTAGATTCAGGGTGACGTCCTTGGATGTGGGGTGCTTCCTCCAAAGGCCTCGCCTCTGCTGGGACAGACGGACAGACGGCTCCAGAACTGCCTGCAGGCAGCCTCCCGAGGCACCGGAAGGTGGCTGAGCGCCCCCCCTGCCCGACCTGCAGCCCCTCTCCTCCGGGTTGGTCCACTCCACCAGGTTCGGCCCTGGGAGCCCTCGCAGACGAGATTTTTCAGGAACTGGAGATTCTTCTCAGTTTCCCTTCCAGGCTGAGCACAGCAGTCCTCGAGATGGTTCCTCCCGGCCGCGGGGAGCCTGCAGGGCCCTTGGACCCGGTGTCTTATTCCCCTGTGGGCAATACCCACTCACCTCATCTGCTGAGTGCCGACTACCTGCCAGGCACCATCTTGGATGGGGTTCAGCAGTGATCAAAGCAAAAGACTCTGCTCTTACGGGGTTCCCTGTGGTGGGAGCCTGTGGCGTTTGGCACACGCATGGTCCCAGAGGCGCCAAGGGTCTACGTGGTGGAGGCGTGTCCTGGTGTGCGAGGCACGGTGGTGGGATCCGGGGAGGCCCTCAGGTCAGGGTTGCTCTGGGAAGGGACTAAGGTCCTTCCTTGGACCCTTCAGGTCTCGGGAGACGTCGTCATAAGCCCTGCTGCTGAGCTGGGCCCACCAGCACCCTGGCTCCCTGCTTTGAGATGATGCAACTTGTGACAGTCACAGACGCTCATTCCACTGCCGTCCACCATGAGGTGATGCAGCCAAGGAGGGCTCTGGCCAGAGCCTGCACCATGCTGTTTGGACATAAGCCTCCAAAGCTACGAGCTAAACAAAACCTCTTTTCTTTATAAAGCACCCAGCCTCAGGTACTTTGTTGTAGAAACACAGAATGGACTAAGGCAGCATATGGGAGGCTCTGAGTATCCGACAGTCGCTGGAGCAGCACCCTGAACTTGCTGCCTGAACACTTCAGGCTGTCCCCTTACCATTCTAGAGGACGGGAGCAATTCCAAGGTCATTTTCACTGGGCAAACCCAGGGCTGGCCTCTCCTGAGGCTCCAGGGAGAGTCCGTGTCCTGCTCTCCAGCTCCTAGGGGCCCCACAGCCTGTCTGTCCCACGCTGATGTCCCCAGTTCCTGTGCGAGATCTCTCTCTGCCTCCTCTTAGAGGGACACTTGGTGATCTTCAGGGCTCCCGGGGTGGCCCATGACCACAGCTCCCCGCCCCCAGCCTTAACTGAAACGCAGGCAACAGCCGCGGAAGGGAGACTCTCAGGTTCCAAGGACTAGGACACCGTGTCCCCGGGGCTTTCTCCACCTTCTCGCAGGAAGGAAGCCATTCAGGAATGGGGAGGGCCAGGAGGGTCCAGGGGGTCATCTCTGAGGAGTGGCCTGAGGCCTGAAAGAGGCAGGAGGCAGTCTCCAGGAACAGCGTGCCCGGCTGAGGAACAGCAGGGGCAAAGTCTAAAGGTAAGAGTCAGCCGGTCAGGGAGCAGGACGGGAGGAAGCTGCTGGGCTGAGGGTGTGAGGAGGCTGGGGGGACACCAGGCCCAGGACACACAGGCAGGGCCCTGGACTTTCAGAGGGATGGGCATGTGCCCAGGTGGGTTTAAGCAGGGTGGGCYGGGTGCCTCTGGCAGCTACAGGTAAACGTACACCACAGCTTGCAGTCATTCGGCGCGGGTTGCGATGCTGTCATCTCTGAGATGGCTCTGGATTTGTGTGTGTGTGGACCTGGGGTCGGACCCAGGGACATGCCACCACTCAGTGCACCCCAGCCCTTTCTATTTTCCTTTGAGACAGGCTTTGCTGCATTGCCCAGGTGGGTCCTGAACCTGCAGTCCCACCCCACCTCAGGCCTGGGCCACTGTGCCCAGCTGGAATTCTTAAAATGGCCTGTGGTGGGGCTCTCGGAGCCKGGGGGAGGTCAGATACTCAGCAGATATCTGCCTGGTCTCCACTGGTCTGCTGTGAGGCCACAGGGAGGACTCGGGCCCCCCAGAGGACCTGCCAGTTCCCACATAGAGCTCAGGGCAGGTGCCAGCTGGGGTACCTGCCACCCCGCCCGGCAGTGACTCGGGAGCTCAGGCGCTGGGCTAGCGTCCTACCTGGGGAGGTCCTCATCCTGCCACTCGCCCTTCACCTCCACCTTCTCCATCCGCAGGGTGGCTTCTGTGGTCCCCATGGGAGCCGGGAGGAGGGGCCCTGGAGGGGAGCTGGGAGGGAGGAGCGGGTTGAGTGGACAGGGGTCCTAACAACAGCCCCCCGACCGCAGCTCTCAGAGGGGGGTCTGCCAACAGCTCCGTACCCCTTCTTCCACCCAATCATGGCCCAGCCCACGAGGCTTCCTTCCCTCGGGCGAGCCAGGACCCAGACAGGCTCCTCCCCCCTCTGGATCTCAACTGGGAAGCCGTCATCTTAAAAGATCTTAAAAGATCSTTCAGACTCAAGTGTGAATGACTGATGTGCTAATTTTCCCTGCTGGGACTGACACTTTCAAGAGGACCAGGCCCATGCCTTCCCTCTCTCTGCTCCAGTCCCCTCCCTTGCCCCCTGTTCTCCTGCACGTCCTGATGGCCTGACCCCAGGACAGGAAGGCAGCACTGAGCAGCGGGACTGGGAGTCGGGTCAGAATCCCCCTGACTGGGGGAGGCAGGTTTCGTTCTCAGGGTTCTGGGGGTGGGGCTCCGGGCGGTGGCTTGGGTCCGCTGGGACAGGATGAGGGTTGAGGAGGAGCTGAGATGGGGGAACCCCGGCCYGCAGACTCCCAGGCCCTTCACCTCTCGGGCCTCGGCTTCCTGTTTGCAGATGAAAGGACTGAAGCAGGGCGACTTCCAGGYCCTCTGGACGGCCAGGGGGTCTCCTGCTCCATCAGCCCTGCTCACTGGTGCTTTTAATCAGTGGTTTCCAACCAGGACGACCCTCCCCACCCTCAGGGGACACTTGGCGATTTCTGCGGGCACTTTGGGTTGCTGTGCCCGAGGGACCAGCTCTGGGTGGAGGCCAGGGAGCCTGCTGGACACCCACAGTGCCCAGGCTGTCCCCAGGCAACAAGGGCGTCCTTAGGGCCAAATGTCCACAGGGCCCCGGCAGAAGCCCGGCTTTAAGGGAAACAGCCATTTCTTCTCTATTTGCCTTTTGTGGAAGGGTTTCAGGCCCCAGCTCTGCAGTCACCATGGAGCACAGCTGCTGGACCACCCTGTGACCTCCCTGTTCTGAAGAGTTCCTGTCACCCACACTCCTCAACACGGGAGGACCCTGACCCCCAGCCCCGCACCGCTGCCCCTCTGCAGAGCTGGCAGGGCCAGGTGGTTGGGTGTGTCCCTCACACTGGGGGACCTGGAGATGGCTCTGCTGTGGCTGGTGAGGGGGGCCTCGGAGGGAGGCTGAGCCCCGAGGTCCCCGCAGGAAGAGGGAGCAGCTGGACCTAGACCCTCCCTGGCTTCCAGAGAGTGCCCACATTCTCTCTTGGCTGTCTTGAATGTCGTCATTCACTCATGGAGGAGGGACAGCGAGATGCAGCACAGGAGCAAAACAGTCCCTTCCAGATGCTACTGGCAGAGCGACCGCTGGGGCGGGCGAGTCCTCTCCAGTGCAGATCCGTCTCCTCCCTGGAAGGGGTCTGCAGCCCTGAGCTGGCAATGACCTCAGCTCCCTGGGGACCGACTGGCCACATCCGCCAAATATGGGGTGTGGTGGGTCCCAGTGGCCCACAAGCTCCTCTCAGGTCCTGGCTTCCCATTGGGGAGAGCAAAGAAAGCCACGGTGGGGGGCATCTGGGAAGGAGTATGGATGCTCGGAGCTGATTATTAACCCATCAGGCACAAGTTGGGAAGAGGAGGAGGCGTCTTTAGCAGCCCCTTCCTCCCACCCCACCAGCCAGCCCTCAGCGACACACTTACAACATCTTTTTCCCCCCAAATCCGCAGCTGGCAGAGCCCCTGGGGGTTATAAATAGGAAACAGCAGAGGCCCAGGGCGCTCCCCAGGAGAGGGGACAGCCCTTTATCTGCCTAAGCCCCGAACTGTCCTGACAATGGTCAAACCTGCTCGCCAGCCGGCCGGGAGGTTTGCTGGCCTGGGCGACAGGGCCACCAGGGCAAGATGGGCGAGAGCGCATCCACGCAGACCCGCATCCTCCCTTCCATCGGCCCCACCTGGGGCTGGGCGGCAGCAAATGCCGCCCTCCGCCTCCCGAGCAGGAGACAGCAGGAGACGGGCTCACTCACCTCTCGTCCCTGTCACCGTCACCGTCACCGGCAAACAAAGGCGAGCGCTCCCGGTGCGCGGCACTCCTGGCCCCCGGGCCTTCAGAGCCTCGCGGGGAGAGGCTGGCGGGGACTCGGCATCCCGGGAAGGTCACCCTGGGCGACGCGGCGGCCGAGCTCACCCGTGCAGGGCGGTGCAGCTGGGTCTGGGTCAGCGGTGGGCTCCCGCTGGCCGGGCGGTGGCCCGTGTCATCGCTGCCCGCGGCCTGCCTCCGAGGGTTCGCTGGGCGCACAGCGGGCGGGCGAGGCTGGCTTCTCGGGGACAGTTACCGCCGCTGCTTTGTGTGCAGGGGCGGGAGGCGGGGGCAGGCGGCGGAGGAGCAGGCCCGGCCGCTCGGCTCCTCCCCGTTGGCGGGGGACGGGCCTCTCCGCAGCCGCCAGGGCAGGTGCCGCGCTCGTGTCTGGTGGCGCATCACAGATGTGAGGACGGAACAGGGGCAGCAGACGACAGGGACGCAGGGGCAGGCCCCACCCCAGCTTCTCCCTTCAAGGAGCCGCGCGGGGACTGGGGCTGGGGCAGCAGCCTCTCAGACACACTGCCCGGCCGCCTCGGGCGCAGCGCCCCCTGCAGTTGTGCGCCGGGGAGCCGCAGCCGGGAGGGAGCCGCCAGCCCGGGGACAGTGGGGCTGAGCCCCGTCCTGCTCCCGGGTCCGCGCCAGGCCTCATTCCCCCGGTCCGGGCAATGGGACGCTCCAGTGTCACCTCCAGGACCTCGTGAGAGGAGGGTAGACCAGGCTGCGCACGCGGAGGGAGCCTCTATCAGTGTCTCTTCCAAATGCCGCCCCCCCACCTGGGCCCTGTAACGGGCTGAACGGTGGCCCCCAGGACACACGGGTAGGCCCCAGTCCTGGGAACTTGTGCATGTGACTTTATTTGGAAAAAGGGTCTTTGCAGATGAAATTAGGTTAAGGATGCGGGATGCAGATCATCCTGGATTAGAGGGGTTCTAAATCCAACCACAGGCGTCTTTAGAAGAGAAGGGAAAGGCGTGGGGGGGGGGAGGCCAAGTGAAAGATGGAGGCAGAGACCAGGGCCAGGCATCTACGAGCCAAGGAACCCCAGGACTGCTGGAGAGAGTGAGGCAGGTAATAGATTCCCTCCAGAGATCCAAGAGGGACACCCTGGCAGACACCCCAATTTCAGACTTCTGGTCTCCCAAACTAGGAGAGAATAGATGTCTGTGGCACTTTGCTAGGAAATGAAGCACATGACCTCAAGTAGAACTGACTTCTGTGTTCTCTCCAAGTTACATCACGTTGCATTCACTCCTACCACAGGGCCTTTACACATGCTCTCCCCCCCTCACATATGTTCATGCTATCCATGTGTCAGTTCAGAAGCTGTCTCCTCAGAGAGGCTGCCTCCCACTCACCACCCTACCCCACTGCCCAACTTTTTTTTTTTTTTTTGTACAACGCACTTTTCCTTAAATGGGGAAGAAATGCACTTAAAACTGACCACTTTACACTCGGTAGGGTGCAACTCGGAGGCATTGGTACGCTGATAGTCATGCACCACCTCCATTTCCTCATCCAGAACAGTTCGCCACCCTTAGTGGAAGCCAGTCCCCCTGAGCAGCCTCCTCCTGCACCCACAGGTCTACACCCCATCTCTGGACTGTCCTGTCCTGGACTCTCCTGTCACTGGGTCATAAACTGTGGCCTTGTGTGTCTGGTTCTCACTGAGCATGAGGTCCTTGGGTCCCTCCATGCTGCAGCTGTGTCACCTCACTCTTGCTGGTGGCCAAGGGACCTCTGGGTGTGGGTGGAGCCCATTTTATGTATCTGTTCATCTGCTGATTACACTTGAGATAGGTTCCACTTTGGGGCTGCTGTGAACACATGGGCACAAGTACTTGCTTGGGTCCCTGTTTTCAACGCTCTCGTGGGAATGCCGAGGGGGGGATTTCTGGGTCATGCTGTGATTCTTTCACTTATTGAAGAACACAATTTTTTTCACAGAAGTTGCCACTCAGAAATTATTTCTTTGTTTCTGTGGTTATTCTCTGTTTCACTTTTACTAGAATATGAATCTCCAGGGAGAAGGACTCTTGATCTCACTCACAGATATACTGTCCCCCAGAGGGTAGCACCTGACACTAGGGTGGTCAAGAGCCACCATGTATTAGTTGGCTTTGTGTTACTACAACAAAATGCCTAAAGTAGATAACTTATAAAGAGGTTGGGTGTGTAGCTCATTGGTAGAGCACTGAGCATGCATGAGGCCCCGGGTTCCATCTCTAAAGCATATGTACACACACACACACACACACACACACACACACACACGGGGTGGGGGATGATTTAGCTCACAGTTTTGGAGGTCCCAGGTTATGGAGCCTGCATCAGCTCATTTCTGGTCCTCAGTGGGTGGGAATGGTGGGACAGTGTGTGGGAGTAGTCTCATCTCAGACAGGAAGCCAGAGAGACCTGGGTGGAGCCACGCCCAAACTCTCATAGAAGCCCTCTGGAGAGAACTATCTTCCAGGGCCTGTCCCCAAAGACCTAAGGACCTCCCACTAGGCTCCACCTCCCACTAGGCTCCACCTCCCACTAGGCCCCACCTCCCACTAGGCCCCACCTCCCACTAGGCCCCACCTCCCACTAGGCTCCACCTCCCACTAGGCTCCACCTCCCACTAGGCTCCACCTCCCAAGGTCTCTGCACCTCTGAATAGCACCACCCTGGGGACCGAGTCTTCAATCCACTTGGAGCCTTGGGGGACATGAGCCATGTTCCAACCACAGTGTGCAGTCAGGATGCCTGAGCGTGGACATCAGGGACACTCGGGCCTCTCTCTCTGCACCAGGCAGCAGTAGGGCACCTTGCCCCCAGAGAGCCTGCTGGGGAAGGAAGGGCCCAGAGCCTTCAGCACAAGGCCTGGACTTCCCAGGTCCTGGGTGGAGGGAGTGCGACTGTCAGAAAGGACACTGCGTTGATGGCAGGGAGACGCAGGCTAGCCCTGGAGCCCAGTGCTGGGCACGAAACAGCAGCCTGGGGTCTCACAGAACTCCCCTCAGGTAGGAGAGGCAGGAGGTCCCAGGAGTTGGCATTCATTCAGAGACAGGGCCCTTGGGAGGATCTCCTGGGGTGGGATGGGGTGGGGCGATGTGCGCTGGGCTCTGAGGAGCGAGTAGGATTTTAATGGACAGAGGACAGAGAGAGGCATTTGGGGCAGAGCGGCCTGCCTGGATGGTCCGCGGTCTGTGGAGCGGCAGCTCCTCCCACGGACAGTGCCTTGGAGCTGTCCGCGGTGCTGAAGCCACCGCCTCTGACTAGGGGCTCGCCATCTCCCTGCCCTTTGTGTTGGCCCTGGCCAGCGTTGAAGTGCCTCCTGCGACGTGCCTCCCAGGGGCAGTATATGGTCAGAGAAGTTTTGTTTTGTTCAGGAAGAGTTACGCTGCTGGCCGAGAGCGCAATGCTAACGAATAAAAGCGCATGCTAAAGGAGGTGACTGTGAGCCAAACTCAGAGAACAAGGTCATGTATGGATGGTCAACAAACATACTGTGAACAAAGGCCACCAGGAGCCTGGACCTCCCCGGTGCCTTTCCCTTGAGAAAAGGTCCCCCGGAGCCACTACGTCAAGGTCCACGGCAACTTTACACAAGCAAAGTGGTGGGAGCCGACTGTACGCCCTTCCAAGGGCTGTTGTGTGGACCAGCCAGGTCCTGGAAATCCTCACAGGAGACAGGGTTTGTGCAATCCAGAGAGAACACGGGATTGAGCTGCCTTTGTACAGCAGACGCTGCCTTCATTGCCTAATTAGAACCGCGGGGCCTTGGAGGGGGGCCATGTGTAATTACCTCGCTGGGCTTTGGCCAGGGCATGGTGAGAGAGCTACACCTGCCAGACCAGCCAGACCATTGCTAGTGGCCACACACGGTCATGGAGACACGGAAGAATGCCATTCGTTTAAATCACCCGTGGGGCTCCTTTGGCACCCAGGGCTTCCATGGTGCCTGTCCAAGAATTAACTAGCCCTGGGTCTGCTTAATGGGGGGGGGGAGGGGGGCGGGGAGGGCAAAAGAACACACCCCTGTCATCCTTGGCAAAAGTACTTTTTCCTCCAAGCCTCTCGTAATATGGCATAGTCAGAAGGCCAGATGCTTTGAGTGGGGCTCTGGCTAAGGGGCGGGCTTGAGAGGAGACCCTCACTTCCGAGTGGTTAAAGGGAATGCAGGGCTCCAAGTAAGGGGCGGGGCTTGTCATGGGGCGGGGCTTCAGCTGAGAACTGCTTATCTGAGTGGTTGAAGGCCAGGCGGAGCTCCGAGCGAGGGGCGTGACYCGCTGCAGGGGCGGGGCTTGAGGTGGGGCCGGGCTTGAGCAGAGACCCTCACTGGCTTGGGGAAGAGGAAGGCGGGGCCCGAGGAGGGGGCGGGCCGGTGACGTCAGCGGCCGCCGGCCCCGGGAAGACGCCAAGATGGCGGCGAGCAGCTCTTCCGGCTTCGCACAGGGCGCCGGCCCGCAGTCCAGGTAAACGGCCCGCCCTCCCTCGCGGCGCGCGCCGGCCCTGCCCCAGGAGGACCGCGAGGCGAGGAGGCGGCGGCGGCGTGGTCGGAGCCGGCGGGCTGCCAGGCGGGCTGCGGCCGAGATGGCCTCGGAGCCGACGGTCAGGGAAGCGAGGAGGGGGCTCCTGACGTGGGAGGGTCCTCGGGCCTGTGGGGCTGGAGCACCGTCAACGGCCGGGGGAGCCCGGGAGGTACCTGGGCGGGCGGGGAGGGCGGAGGGCGCCGACCCCTGAGGGACAGACGATCCCTGAGGGACGGACGGGCCTCCCAGGTGGGGGGGGCGGAGGGCGCAGGCCCCCCTCACGGCGCGGGGGGGACGGAGGGTGCAGACCCCTGAGGGACAGACGACCCCTGAGGGTCGGACGGGCCTCCCGGTGGGGGGGGGCGGAGGGCGCAGGCCCCTGACGGACAGACGACCCCTGAGGGACGGAGGGGCCTCCCGGTGGGGGGGCGGGGGGACCCCGATGGGGGAGGAGGAGGAGGAGGTGGAAGGGTGCCTGGGAGGCAGCAGTCCAGCTGGTGGGGCGAGGACCGACCCCTGTGGAGAAGGCAGCCCTTCCTGGTGCCTGCGGAGGCCGAGGGGAGCCACCCCCTAGCGAGGGCACAGAGGACAGACCCGGAGGCCCGGCTGGGCTGGGGTGGTCTTGGAAGTCAGCTGGAAGGGAACCCGGAGGAAGTCAGCGCGCGGTTGGGAGGTTGCTGAGACCCGATTGAGGGAGGAGCAAACTCGGGGTCCTGAGACCCAGTGGGAGTGGGGCACCTGGGGTTTGCAGGGAAGGGGGCCCTCGGGGAGAGGGGGCTGAGCCGTTGAAACCAGCGGAGGTGTTTAGGTGTGTAAGAGCCGGGGGAGGTGGGGACCCAGGAGTTTGGGGGGATAGGAGCCCAGAGGAGAGATGGCAGGGGGTAGCGGGCAGGAGGGTTCTACTGGGGGCGAAACACACCACAGCCWGTTCTCCAGGGCCTCTCACTGCTGCAGCTCTGCTGCCCCCTGCCTGTCACCCGAGTCACACAGCCAGGGCTTGCAGCTCCAGGGAAAGGACCCTGACCTGTCATTTTCGTGTACCACCCTGTTTCCAACTGGCAGCCTGGTAGAACCTCTTGGGCCAGTGTCGCAGCCTCTTTGGAGCCCACTACCCACGTTAACTGCCCTTGGGCACCTCAGAGACAATTGTTCCCTGAGCCTGGGGCCTCTGCCACATGTTCACAAGTGTCCGAGCTGCTGGGAGCTGCTGCCAGCCAGTGTTCTGGTCCTGTACAGTGGAATGTGGGTCCTGGGCCAGCGTCTGTGCGCCCGTGGGCTCCCTCTCATGGAGTTACAAGGAGAGGCCAGTCAGGGCCTGGAAACAGGCCCGGGAGTCAGCATGCCCCCATGTTTTCTGCACCCCAGGGCTTCCCCGTCAGGCCTGGCTAGCCGTGCTTCTCTCAAGGGAGAGTGCTTGGCTGCCGTTTTCCTGGGATGGACCTTTTTCACTCTTCTTTTCTGTTTTCCTTGTGCTCAGTGGCAGTCTGAGGGCCAGGGCCCGGGCTCGGCCAGCCTCCTGGCTGAGGCTGTGCGCTCCTGGCAGCACTGCCCCACCTGCCCGCCAGCTCTTCCTTTTCCTTCTCTCTCCAGTGCTTCCCTCATTCCCATGGGCACAGTCCCTTGATTGTTGGGCTATTGGCATGGCCTGCCAGGAGAGCAGCTGAGTGTTTAGGCTGGTAAAATAGGTCACTGCTGAGGTCAGCAGTTGTTTTTGTTTTGATTTGCGTTAATGGACTTACACATTTTAGTGCTGCTCTTTTCTGTCCTGTGGTGCTCCGGCAATGCGACGTACACATAGCCAAGAATGTGACACTGTCATCAAATGTCCAATGTCGTTAGAATGGTCTCTGCGAGAGGGTTATTCTTCAAAAAAAGAATAAATATTAACTAAAGCTGAAAGTATTGTGGGAAGCAAGATTATGTACATTACTTGAATGATCTTAAGTTGCCTCAGCCCTCTTCTTTTGGGGGAAGCCACTTTGTCTTGGAAATTTGAGCTGCTTTTAAAATATGTGTTTCTTATATAATGTGCCATAGGAAAGCTGACTGGACCCCAGGTGCTGTGAGTCCCACTCTGCGGCAGTCCTTGGACAATAGTATTTACAATGCCTGTGTTGTGACTTGCCCCAGCAGAGGCAGCAGTACTCCTTTGGAGCTCTGAGAGGGTTTTCTTGGCTTGTAAAGCTGATGACCACGGCCTTGGATGGGGCTGTTCCTTGCACGGTCATCCATAAATAGGGCTGGGGTCTGGACTGTTCTTTAGTTGTCAGTCAGCATTGCCTGTGTGTTTGCAGTTACTTGTTGATATTATCTTTTTTTAACTGGTGTTGGGGTTGGAACCCAGTTATGTTATGACATGTTATGCAGGCACTGTACTGCTGAGCTGCACTTCTCTTTAAAAATAAAGTTTATTTTGAGATTGGGTTTCCCTAAGTTGCCCAGGTTGGCCTAGAACTTGTGATCCTCCTCCATCAGTTTCCCAAGTAGCTGGGATTTCTCATGTGGCTACCATTGGCATTGCTTATCATTTCGTTATTTTATGTAGCTTGGAGTCACAGTGCTTTTCACAGTTAGGACTGCAGGTATTCAGAATGAAGGAGTAATCCTGTGTGACTCCAACCATGCTTTTGTCAGCTCAGGGGTGCTGCTTAGTGGTGAGGCCAGGGGCTGCTGGGGACACCCCATCTATGTTTAAGTCTTGTGGGTTATGAGATGTGCAAAGCTGGATGGGCTGTATGCTGGGCTTCCCTCCAAGACAGTGGCAGGCAGGCCAGCTCTGTTGCCTCCTGGAGCAGTTTTGTTGAATTCCCACTGGGATCTCGCAGTTGGCTACCTTTGTTTTACACACTCCCACCTGTGGTTCTGGGATTGAGCCCAGGGGTGCCTACCACTGAGTTAAACTGACAGCCCCTTTTTTATTTTATTTTAGAGAGTGTCTTGCTAAGTTGCTGAGGCTGGCCTTGAACTTGGGATCCTCCTGAGCAGCTGGAATTACAGGCATGACTACTGTATCTGACAAAAAAAGTACATTTTTAAAGAAGACTTATTGCATGACCAAATTATGCTATCTCAGACCCTATCACAAGTGAATTGAATGTTTTTACAAATTTTCAGGGCTGAGGATGTAGCTCAGTGATAGAGTGCTTGCCTAGCATATGCCACACCCCTGAGTTTTATCCTCAGCACTGCAAAAAAAAAAAAAAAGTTTTTCAAGTATAGATTTTGAATTTTTATTTTATCCATTTTAGAATCAAAAATAAATTCCTAAACATTGGGATAAAAGTAAACTCCTAAGAGATCCTTTAAATTCCCAAACATATTCTCTGTTTCTGAATTTTTATAATCTTCTTTTAAATTTTTTTATAGTTGTAGATGGACAGAATGCCTTTATTTTATTTTTATATGGTGCTGAGGATTGAAACCAGGGCCTCGCACATGCTAGGGAAGCGCTCTGCCACTGATGATGATSATCATCATCATCATCATCATCATTATCATCATCATCATTAGTGGTGCTGAGGGGTGCTTTGCCACTGAGCCACATCCCACTCCTTTTTGTTTTTTATTTTGAGACAGGGCCTTGCTAAGTTGCTGATGCTGTCCTTGAACTTGCAACCCTCCTGCCTCAGCCTCCCGGGTCACTGGGATGACGGGCGTGGCCACTGTGTCCAGCTGTAAAAGCATTTTCTCATGACTCTTGGAATCAGTGTTTGCCATGAATGTAGCCTGACAGGGGCCAGAGGTCACCTCAACCAGTCAGCCACACATGGGGTGGGAGACCAGGTGGCAGGACTTGGTTTTTAGGTGGAACCCTCCCACACCAAAAGACCAGCACCAAGCAGAGCTCTGCAGAGTTCAGGAGTCTGCCTTGTGGAGGCCGGGCTGGCGGAGGTGGGGTTGGCAGAGGTGGGGCTGGAGTCTGCCTTGTGGAGGCCGGGCTGGCGGAGGTGGGGTTGGCAGAGGTGGGGCTGGCCAGGGCGGTGTCGTGGCCCCATCTGCTCATAAAGGGAGCCTGCGTAGCACAGGCACAGGAAGAACCCTGTTCCTGCCGCTATAGTTACTTGGGAGGGCTCTGAGGATGTCTAGTTTGTGTTTTGAGGTTTGGGCCAGTTTTGGTTGTCATCATGCTCTAAATTGGGGTCTCACTATGTTGCTGAGCCTGGCCTTAAACTCACGGTCCTCCTGCCTCAGCCTCCCCAGTAGCTAGGATGACAGGCATGTCCACCACGCCAGCTTACTTCCCTTCCCTAAGGTAGGTGCGAGGTGCCCGAGGCACCATGTTCCCACCCTGGCAGCCCACCAGGGGCTGCTGGTTGTCCCCAGATATCCGGGGCTCCAGACGAGTGCTGCCAGTCACACACCCTACACCATCTATCTGCTCTTTGCTCCGGGTGGTGTCCTGTGGTCTTCTCTTGGGTGGACCCTCAGCCAAGGTGTTGGTTTAGTGGGTGCTTTGCCCTGACTAAGGCGACTTGGGCGTCTGCGGCACTTGCTTCCTCTGCTGTTCTGTTGACCGTGCCCCAGGGCAGCTCTTTGTCCCTGCTGGCTGAGACTGGAGAGGCTTCCTCCGGCTCTGTTGGCTTCTGGCCCCTTGGATGGTTGCTCCTGGAGCAAAGCTGATCCCACCTTCGGTGCCTGGGCTGAATGTTCTGGAAGGCCATCAACTAGCTTTGATTTTGAATGCAGTGGTTGCTTCTAGGGCCACTGTCCTCTGTGGAGCTTCCTTATAGGTGCCCTGGCGACCGGCTTGGCTTGTCACTTCCTTCCCACAGCAGAGGTTCCATGCTTGGGGGGCCGCAGAGCTGCTGCTGCTGCTCCCCAGGAGGTTTCCCACCCCCCACAGGCAGGAGAGCAGTGAAGCCACACCTGACCCCCTCACCGCTCCTGAGACCTGAGATGTCCGAAGCAGTTGAAAGGCATCACTTTGTTGAATGGCTCGGCTG